AAAAAAAAAAAAAAAAAAAAAAAAAAAAAAAAGAAAAAAAAAGAACGGGTTCTTGTAGAATTCAAAGCGAACGAATACAACAGAAGTCCTTATTCGGTTGAGGCGCTCCATTCGCCGAAAAGTTTTTAATAGTTTTTGTTTATAGAAAAAATAAAGGTTACACAGAACAAGTTTTCAAAAAGAAATATTGGAAGCAATTAACAATAAATCGACCTCCTCAATCCGAAAACAGCTCTATAAAAAAAACAAACGAATAAAAGAGCAAGGAGAAAACCCGTCGTTCCAGGGTTAAATCTACCAGAAACATTTTGAACACAGCTTTCTTTCTATTGAAGGGCTTGTCAATCTTTTTTTTTTGTGTGTATTAAACGCCCTTTTCGAGACATGGCAGATTTCGCGCAATACCACTCAGATATTAAGTGACGCCAGTAGTTTCAATTCAAAATTAAAAGACACCTAGTCTTTTGTACTTAATTTCCAAACAACGATTAGAAAAAAAATAATTTTCTTCCCCTTCCTTCATTCATTCCCGATTCACTGAAATTTACATAACACGTCGCTTTAAAAAAGCAATTGAAAAACAGGCCGATTAAGGCGAAATTTTTTAACGATTTGTGCTCCACCACTCAAAAAGAATTCATGAGTGAGAATTAACAGTGTATACAAGTTAAATCAGGGAAAATAAAATTGCCGCAACTTTTCTTTAAATCAAGATTATCATTCGTCATAAGTTTCATCTATTGTCCGTCTGATTCACTGAAATATGAAAAGATATATTTTGGTATGTCAATCTTTTGTTGATGGGAGTTTGTCCTCGACAACTTTCAACAACAAATGATATTTCAAAACAAAATAACCTTTACGATTGGGAGACTTGTTGGATTAAAAAACAAAAAACAACCAAGTACATAACGCATTTTAAGCATTCCTTAAATGTTTAATTTTTTATTCAAGAATCCCTACAGTACGGTAACCGCCCAAAAACCCCCTGAATTTTTAATGCCACCAGTTCAAAAACGAAAAAGAAAAAAAAAACGAAGTCGGCGGGAAAACTTTTCAGCCACAAAACCCTTGCGGCAATTCCGCGTACCCGCAGTGAACCTTGTCGAGTCTCCTGGCATTGTCCTTGGGGATCGGCACGCGGAACAGCATCCCCGTCTTGGCACAGGCGCAGATCTGGAACTGGCCCATCCCGTGGCCCAACGCGTCGTCCCCTTTCACCACCGGCACGTCCTTCATGTAGATCCTCACGCCGTCCTTGCCAGCGAGCGTGATCCCGCCCTGGACAGACTTGAGGAAGATGTCCTTGTGGGCGTACCACTGGGCCTGGGCAGAGTCCATGTGCAGGCCTTCGTTGCCCTTGAGGCGGCTCTGCGAGTGGGACTTGAGCGTGAGCGAGGCGTCCATGGGACTCACGACGCGGGACGTCGTCGCCTGCTCCACGGCGATCTGAGTGACGCCCTTGGGCAACCCGAAGTTCGGGTACGCGGTGGAGAAGATCTCGGCCCCGGTTGCTGGGTCTCGCACCAGGAACGAGTCCACGTTCACCACCTTCATTTATAAAGGATGAAACACACACGAGGATTTCATGATTCGAGTTTCCCCCTCTTCCAAATCACAAACTCTTTTTCGTCTCATTATAAAATGGGGGTCTTGGCTAACAAACCCAATCAACTTCTGAAAGAAGTTTTTTTTGCCAAATCAAGTTTTTAAAAAGAAAGCGCAAGAAAGAATTTTAATTGGTTTGAGAACCTTGCAAGTAACCACGGAAATCAAGAAAATTCTTCATTAAAAAATTCATTAAAGACCTAAAATCTTGTGTTTCAACCTTGACTCAATATCTTCATGCTTTTAAGCAATCTGAGCCTGTACAAAGAAAAAGAAAACATGAAGGATAAACTATGCAGTACTTTACTGAACTAACATGTATATCGGTGCACTACCAAATATACTAACACATGTGAATTATTTGAAAAGATAATTGAACAAAAGCAAATTTAGCCAAGAAAAAAAAACAAGCAACTTCAGATTTTATTTTTCTCTTTAATCAGATAGAAAATTCTCCTCTTTTCTTCCCAATATTTTTCTGCCAAGTCAATATGTGCAGTTTGCCTTTAAATTATGGATGGTAAAAATGATGGCATTGCTTTGTTCTACAGAAGAAAAGGATTAAAATTTATTCATAATCCCATTCCCAAGATAAAATCCTGGGGAAGAGAAAATTCTGTAGGCCCAAAATCCCACAACTTGAATTCATGCATCAGAAAAAAGTATCTTTTGGGAATTAAAGAAGGACCCTTGGTTAACAAACTTGATTAGTTCCAGACAAAAGTTTGCTACCCAGATTTAATTTTCCCACAGACTTCAATGGCTACGAATTTAATTCATTCCGTAATCCCAAACACAACATAGAACATTGAAGATGAAAAATTCAAGATGGTCAACTAGGTCAACTACTGTATAATCAGAATAAATTGTTGCTGCATCTTGCATTTGCTCAGAGTGTTTTTTTTTTTACATTGTTATATGGAAAAATAAGTGATGAAAACAAAGATAAAAAGCTTCACATCCAGAGAAACAAATACTCTAGGATAAATGCCAGGCAAAAATTAAATGTCTTCTTCAATGCTACAAGTTAAGATCAAATAGACCCTTTAAACAATTGAACAACTATTTTAAGAATCAAGCACAGAAAATAAAATAATTATGTCACAAAAAAGCATATGAATATATGTGGCTGAAACAAATTTAAAAAAAAACACAATATTACACACATCCAAGCGCCAGGAGGAAGGAATTTTCATTTCAGTGGATAGGTGATTTACAGTACAGTATTTGCACTTGGATTACTGTACAGTATATCATAAGTTTCAGCCACAAAATCATTTTTTGGTTTCTCAAATTTGGGCATTTTAAAAAGTTTGTTAACCAAGGGTTCCAGCACTGTACAGCATCGGAAGACCTTCGGACCTGCGTGTACAGCGAGTTGATAATCAGCTCCTCGGGCCGGGCCTGCAGCTTGAACCCAATGGACCCATCCTGGGTCTCCAGGGAAATGGACTCGTCGCCAAAGGCTTCAATGAGCCCGTCCTGCTTCACCACGTTGCCCAGGTCCACGTCGCCGTGGAACCGAATCACGCGTCGCTCGCCACCATCCGCGTCATTCAGCACCACAAACTCCATGTTCTTCATGCCGTTGCTGAGTCGGAGGACGCCGAAGATGAACACGGTCGTGGCCAGGTTGCCGAGGGCCAGCAGCAGCAGCAGGACGACGACGATCCAGAAGAGATACGCCCTGCGGCCACATGGCCCGGGTTTCGACGGGTAGCTGCCAACTATCGGCACCTGTTCATCCCTTCACATATAATAAACACAAGTCAATCAAATTTTAAAATTTCAAAAAACCAGAGGAGAATTACAGTAGTAAGGCCCCGACATTCGAACGATTTGAGTCTTATGAGAATTCGAAACTGGAAAAAATTCGCAACAACATCCGAGATCCGGACACTTCACCAACATTTCTAGACAAACGGAAGCTTTCCATTTTTTCAAAAATTTGATAGCTCTTGAACGGACAAATTGAGCTTTCCAAGTTCACAAAAATGAAAAAACCAATTTTTGTAAAAATTCACTATAATTCTCAATTCAAAACGGGCAAATTTGTGTGGCTTTTTTCTAGTGATTTCAATAATCTGAGCACATCATAGGAGGAATTGTATGCTATACTTAACTCTCCTCTTCATGCCAAAAGATTTAGATATAAACTCACCAGTCCCCACTTTCATGCGCTGACTTCCGGTTAAGGGAAGATTTGTGCCGAATGGAAACAGTCGTCGCACTTCCTGGACTAACACTTCTCTCGTAGCTCCCGGGAGCCATTTCCTCTGCACAATACAGTGATTATTATATCTATGAGAAATTGCAAAACAGATTTCTGTAGAAAATAAAACGTAACAAGTCAATCTGTTACACTGCGTTTCCTTGGCAAGCAACGTTTCTCGTAAAAAAAAAAGAACTCCGAACACCCAAAATATACGACTGCTGAAAAAGTACCAGAACAGCCAACTGTGTGTCAGCTGCAATTCCCTGAGTATTTTGTATGCAGAGAAAAGTAGATGGAATATGAAGCATTGGGTGGACGGACTTCTCGCCAAAGCTCACATGTGAGCTGCCGAATTTACCCTGCTCCCCCTTCCCCCTGCCTCACTCCCTGAACCCATCACTCTCTCTTTGAAGAATAACTTACAGTACAGTTAAAGTGTGCATACCTCGGACAGTACATCAAAAGAGAAAATGTGTGTCATTCATCAAATGAAGGGATAAAAACGTGCTCCCGCTCGGGTTCGAACCGAGGACCTACCGCGTGTAGAGCGGACGTGATAACCACTACACCACGGGAGCTTCATATCATTGCATCACGCAGATTCAACCCCCAATAAAGGCAGTTCAGCCTTCTCAACAATAATACCAGTTGTACGAATTGAACAAAGGAGGATCATCGGATGCACTTCACTTAAATACTGTTTAGGGCTATAGGCGAACAGAAAATTAACTCCGTACCCATTGGTGGTAAACAACAGAGCTACTGTTCGTACAACTAGGCGTGATTTGGAGTGTGTGAAAGCATTTTCCCTGCTGACTTATAAGACAAGTATTCATAAGAAAAGACTGAAGCTAAAATTTCCAATGCATTTGTTCTAAACTTCTCTTGGAACTTCAGAAGAACATATCCTGAGAAAAATTCCAATAGAAAAAATTCACTAGAATTGAATTCTTCGTCAAGTGTGGTGAGTTGTAGCTGCAGCAAGCTTAGTTTTGGTGAATTTTAATATTCTTTTATTCAAGAACCACAACAAAAAGATAGACCAGTACCACGTTACCAAATGCCATCACACGCAGCTTTCTTCCAAAAAAAAGGGCGGGTGTCTCAAGTAAAAGTTATTTCAGAGTAATTTGAAAAAAAAGTTGCCATATTTCTGCGTAAAAATGTAAGAAATCTCAGCATATTACTTCAGGAAAACTGAAATCATACGACATGCGATAAGGACAAAAATCCAATGGCAGTGCCAAAAATTTTTTTTATCTAAAAAGTGGGATTTATGAAGTACGTACAGGCAACCTCAAACAGTCTTTGTTTCGGAACGAAGTCATTGTCAAAGTAAGTTTTAACCATGTGATGAGCAAACCATGCATGCTTTTTAAACGGAAAAGATTTAAACGTCCTGATATACTAAAGGGCATTCCTGAAATCAGCTATAACTTATACTGTATCCACTTCTAACTTGAGTCTTGGAAGAGAAAATTAAGAAAAACTTAATAAAACATCACGGAAAAATATGATTGTCGCACTTCCCGGGATCTCACTTTTCGCGCAGCTCCCGAGAGCCATTTCGTCATGACCTAAAAAATAAATTGACAAGAAAAAAATAACCGTTCCAAACAATAAAGCATCACCAAATCGATTTGACACACTCAGTTTTTCCATGGCAAGCGACGTTCTCGCAAAATGCTTCGACAACTGCAATTCTTCGCTATTAAAATGTACCAAAAAAAAGCACATGTTCGTCAGCTGCTGTCGCACTTCGCGCACAAGCAAAAAAACCACAATAATAAATGCAATGAAGAAAGCGTCGCTCTCCAGGGAAAAGTACCAACAAGTTTCCACCGAAAAAAAATGAACCGAGAGACTTCATTAGCAAATCACTCAGAAAAAATCTCGAGTGGAATACAACCCGATTGTTCTCGATTCCAACGGAAGAAACAAAACAAAAAAACACGACGGCCTGAGCAGGTGTTACAACAGCACATCAAGCTAATCCACTCGTGGCAAGTTTAAAGCGAGAAAATGTCCGCCGCGGCGTCCCAACAAACAATCACCAGCGACATTTTTTCTCTGGAATGTTGCCCGAAAGCGAAAAACCGAATACACATTTCTTTTTGGGGGGGATTTTGTTAGCAATAAACTGATCTTCGCTCTCCCCCTCTTTTCCGCACCTATGGAGCAATTCGACGGAGAGCTGTTCGGCAAAACAGTCACTCGTAAAAGGCCGCTAAGGCTTATGATAAGCAGAAGGAAAATAAAGCTCCACAAAATCTCTTCTTTTTCTTTCCCCACGGAAGTCGCAGGTGGAACGTAATATACAAAGATTGAGCTTCTCTCTTTCTCTTAAAAGACACGAAAGCAACTCTCCCACGAGCCAGGGTTAACTTTAAAGGGAAGTAGTGGCTGCAGTTCGGCAGTAATGTTCTCCCCGAGTATTCTTTCTGAGTTTTTTAGTGGATGTTTAGCAGTAACGTAAAACAATGTATTGAGTATGAACTAAGGGCTTAATCTTTTCTGCTCTTCTCTTTTCCAGGAAAATAACGAAAGGTAAGACATAAAATTCGATTTTTACGACGCGAACATTCTTGGCAGAAATCATTGCCAAAGAAGGTAGAAACTGAGACTTCCGTCGAAAATCTGTCTATGCAAAATAAAAGAATCCTGAAGTTCTCTCTGTAATACCTCAAATAATTATAGACTGCAACTCCCCTTTAAATATTTTTCACGGGATTAAAATTATCAACAGATTATAGTCACTTAAAAACAGTTGAAAAAACGCAAAAATTCCTTCTACGAGGATTGAAGTTGTCAGCATTTTAAAACATGAATTCTTGAGAGAAAACAAGACAGATATCAAAGGAAATTTTTTCTGACACGAACATTTCTTGACAGTAATTATGGAAAGTGATGCTCATAAGGGAAGGTAGAAACGGAGACTTCTCTAAAAAAAAATGCGCCAATGATCATTTAGCATTACCTCGAATACTTTTTGATTATACCTGCACTTGAGAAGTTTTCACGGGATTGAATTCAATTGAAAACAGATTAAAGTCAATCCTAAAAAGTTGGGAGAAAAACCGTAAAAATCCTTGCAATGACCATTTGAAGGAAACTTCAAAAGACCTCCAAAACCCCCTCTTACCATAATGAAAAAGCAAAAGATCCGAGCGCTGCAGTGTACCAATAAATCATCAC